ATTTCCATTCCGCAGTTAGTTAATTGGGATGAGATCCACAAGGAGCAGCAGCAGGATAATGAGTGTGTGCTCCTGATTGGGAAGCTCGAAAAAGGAGAGGAGGCCCCCCACGGATTCTCTTTGCAACAGGACCTCCTGTGCTACCGTGGCAGGGTTGTCCTACCACGCCAATCCCCCTGGATTCAACGAATGTTACATGAATTCCATGACTCAGTTCTTGGAGGAAACTCCGGATTCCTGCAAACTTATAAACGTGTGGCTAGCAACCTATTCTGGCAAGGAATGAAGGAGGACATACGTGAGTATGTCGAGAGCTACGCAGTCTGCCAACGTTCTAAGTTGGATGCACTGGTCCTTGCAGGGTTACTACAGCCCCTGCCCATTCCGAAGAGAGTATGGGATGACATCTCCATGGATTTCATAGGCGGGTTACCCTGATCACAGGGCATCGACACTATCCTAGTGGTGGTTGACAGGCTGTCCAAGTATGCCCATTTTCTTCCCCTGTCTCGGCCGTTCACAGCCAAAAAAGTTACTGAGTTGTTCATCCGGGAAGTTGTCAGGCTCCACGGGATACTGCGCTCCATTGTCACGGACCGAGACCCGCTCTTCATAAGTCTCTTTTGGCGGGAACTCTTCTGCTCGCAGGGGACGAAACTGAGCTGTAGCTCGGCGTATCACCCTGAGTCCGATGGCCAAACTGAGGTGGTCAACAGATGTTTGGAGGTTTACCTACGCTATTTCGCGAGCGACAAACTGCGCTTGTGGCTACAGTATTTACCATGGGCTGAGTTTTGGTTCAACACTAACTACAACGCTTCAACTAGGCACACCCCTTTTCAGGTGGTACGGGATACCGCGCTCCATTGTCACGGACCGAGACCCGCTCTTCATAAGTCTCTTTTGGCGGGAACTCTTATGCTCGCAGGGGACGAAACTGAGCTGTAGCTCGGCGTATCACCCTGAGTCCGATGGCCAAACTGAGGTGGTCAACATATGTTTGGAGGTTTACCTACGCTATTTCGCGAGCGACAAACTGTGCTTGTGGCTACAGTATTTACCATGGGCTGAGTTTTGGTTCAACACTAACTACAACGCTTCAACTAGGCACACCCCTTTTCAGGTGGTATATGGTCGGGATCCCCCAACGGTTTACAAATTCATTTACAAATTCAAGGATTCACCATCCCTGGTCGAGGACGTGAATCAACAGCTCCAGCAGCGAAATGAGTTTCTCGACTTCCTTAAAGGGCATTTGGTGCTCGCACAGCAGCGCATGAAGAAGTTCGCGGATGTCCACCGCCGGGAACTCTCGTTTTCTCCAGGGAACGAGTTTTTCTCAAGCTACGGCCCTACCGCCTCAAGTCATTGGCACGCAGGGTCAATGAGAAATTAGCCCCACGATTCTATGGACCCTTTGAGATCGTCGAGCGGATTGGCACTGTGGCGTATCAACTCCAACTGCCAGCGGACGCTTGAATTCATCATGTTTTTCATGTTTCCCAGTTGAAACCTTTCAAAGGCAGTGCGACACGGTTCCTGCCACTCCCGCCGCACCTCTCAGACGAATTAGAGCTGTAGGTTGAACCATTGGAGGTACTTCGTGGCAGATGGAAATCCTTGGGGGGTAAACAGGTGGCTGATGTGCTGGTTAAGTGGACAGGGTTGCAGGATTGGGAAGCCACATGGGAGCTCTTGGACGTGTTTCGGGCGCAATTCCCTAATTTCAACCTTGGGGACAAGGTTGTCTTCGAAGGGGGGAGTGATGTTAGACCCCCAGTAAGGAAAGTCTATGTTAGGAGGTCCAGGAGAAGGAATGCTTCGGGCCCGGGGGAGTCAGGCCCAAATAGTGAGGTTCAGCTCAGAGGGGGGCCAGGCCCAGAGAGTAAAGTTCAGCCCAGGGTGGAAGGCTCGTCTGGGGTGTGAGCGCTGCTGAAGGAAGGAGCTGCTGATGTGGGAAGTTAGTTAGAGGAAAGGAGAGTATATAGGGAAGGATCGAGGCCAGTGGGAGGTGTGAAGAATTTTGTTGGCTCGGCTGAAAGCTTGGGAGGTTGTGGGGTTCCTCGAAAATCCCTCTCTATCTTATTTTCTTGTAATTTCCATTGTTGCTAATTAGGAGCCTTGTTAGAGCTCACTGGTGTTGGTAGAAATTGTCTGAAAAATCAATAAAAAGAACTACCGTTGAATACCATCCCAGCTCCGCTGGTTAAACTCATTCTTTTGAGTCCAGAATCCTAACACATTATTAAGCAGATTCTGTTTCAGCTGTGTGAGGCATTAGTTATTAGTAATCTAAAGAAAAGAAAGGCACCACTGCAATGAACATCAAGCCTTCAAGAGGTAGATCCTTGAAGAGCAAAACCAACACAGACAAAAATTTCTGTGAACATTCTTCCCTACCTCAAATTCTTTACACAAAAGTATTACATAATCATACAGATGAGATAATTCTCTCATATTCTTTCTCATTTTTGTTTCCTAGAACGATTGTTCTTACCTTAGATTGTTTACACACCAAGTATGCAGAATCAAAGTATTACAGTATATTATCAAAGCATCTATCAACGTATTGCAAAGCAGCAAAATTTAACACTCACTCACTACTTTTACACAGCACATAAACGATTGTCAAGACGTACTGGGCTGCAAAAAAAAAAAAATTATATATATATATTGACAAAAACTTGAAAATTTTCGTGCTATCAGCTACTGCTACAAATTTCACAAAAAGTCCTATATTCTACTGATACCAATTCCATTGACAGAAATCCTAATCCCCAATTTTATTGGCAGTTTCGGGGGGTACTACTGCCATGTGTCCCTGAAAATCTACCATTCAAGAGCCCAAACATGAAATCACCCGCAAAATATCCCAATTAATCTAATGATATTACCATATGTGAATAATGTGAGGATCACATACCGTTATAGCATTCGACTATGACGACGAGATGAATGACACCGCCGGCAGAACACCAAACGCAGATGAAGGTTTCTTGTACTTTTTCAATGAGCTTTTGTTTCCTCTCCGATAAAGACGAGAAACAGTCTTACTTTCGTAGTATCGCCGAAATTGGTACCGAATGTGAAACTTCGGTCGTTTGTTCATGAGCAGCCCTATACTTGAAGCACTTCTCATCAACTCAGAGAGGAGAAGTCCACCGTGATATGGGTTGTTTACCCGGTTAATATGAAAAGAAATGAGGGAAGAGACGAGTGAAAAATTTGAAGAGAAAGGGAAAACTACAGAGAAAGCTGAGGGAGATTCTCTGAAGAAGCATGACACACGGAAAGCTGAGGAAGGCAGGGTGATTCTCTGGCAAAGTTGGTCGAGTTGGTGGGGATCATTACTCGAGGGAACAATGTCGTTAACTGTGCAATGACTCATTTTTGGGCTGAATCAGGGAAGGACCTTATTTTGAATCAAGACCCAAAAAGTGATTGGAAACTCAAATTCTGATCCTAACCCAATGCATGACTTTGTGGATCTAATTCTAAACATGAATTCTTGCACATGACTCGGGATCATAGAGGATCCACCAACTAAACGGACACTTATTTTATAATACATATCTAATAATTTATTAAAGGCAAATTCCCGTTTTTCCCTAATAAATGGGTCACGTGAGGGGCATGTGAATGATTCCGTCTATGATTTTTAACAGTCGACAATTGGAGTAAGTATGCCAAACTTTGTAAGTTTAAGGGGTTGATTGCCACAATTTTAATTTAAAGACTGAATTACCAAACGTAAAGTTCATGGTGTATTCATTCAAAAAAGCCCATTTTTTTTGGGGGAATGATTGAGGTGTCTTTCTTCTTCTCTCTACCTAATGAAAATAATAATAATAATAATAATAATATTATGTCGTGCTCGAACAATTTGCGGCTAATATTGATTGTATTTTTCTATGCTAGAGTAAAACGACGAGTCGTTTTAATTTGAGGGCAGCTGTCGTTCAGATGAAATTTAGTTGCAAGTTTTCTGAATATCGTCTGTTTCCTTAAAAGCCAAAAAATAAAAATAAAAAGAAAAATAAAAAAGGAAGGAAGCAAGCAAGCAAGCAAGCTTGCTGTACTAACATAACTGAATTTTTTGTTTTCCAAGTTTTCTGTCGTTTATTCAGCGAAGCAAAAAAAAATTCGTTGTAGTATATTTTAGAAAACAAAAGAATTATCATATTTCCAACTTTGTTGTCGTTTTGTAATAAGCAACAACTTATTCCTTTTTTCTTACTAAAAAGTAAACGCGCCAATAATCCCAATTTTAAACATAAGAAAATTATCTTCTACGACTACCAGTGATTTTTTTCATTACTACATTATTGTTTTTTAACAATATCAAATATTTCCCCATATTTCTAAATTATGGAGCTCAAGTGCCCCAGAGCCGTTTCTTAAGACTTTTATTTTTATTTTTTTATTTTTTTATTTTTGCCCTTTCACTCAAAAACATTTTACAAAACATAATTTCGAAAAAAAAAACATAAAATCCTGGAAAAGAAAAGAAAAGAGAAAAAAAATCCTAAAACCTAGATATGAAAAAATCATAAAGAAATAACTCTTTTTCTTTTATAATTTTTTTCCTATATATTTGTGTGTGTATTTTTTTTTTATTTTTTTATTTTTTTTACTGAAATGAACTCTATGAGTCCCAAAGCAAGTGGCGAGTTTATTTACCATAATTGGGAATAGCCAGCCCAACGGGAGTGGAGAATGGGAGCAACAAACATCTCAGTTACCCGTCCTTTGGAGCTACTGCCCCTTTCCACAACCCAACCCCACCCAAAACAAAAGAATAAACTGCAAAGGTAAATAAGGATTTATATGTGAGAAGAGGAAGAAAACTTTACATATATTATATTAGTTTAAAAGCTTTAAAAATATATTAGCTTACGTTCTAAAGCCAGTGTATTACCAAACTGCATATATTAAAGAAAAAGAAGACAGTCTCTCTCTCTCAAAAAAAAAAAAAAAAAAAAAAAAAAAAAAAAAAAAAAAACCCGCAATCCTATGAATGTCTGGGGTATATATGCACGTATATAACAAGATTCACCATTTACAAAGAGGTAGATACTTCCTGCTCAAACCTGAACCAAACAGACCATCAGTAATAAGAAGCAAAAGAACAGCTTGGCTTTGTGCTTGCTACACGACTGCTTCACAAAAAGGTAGATACTTTCATCAAGATTAACCACCCATGCTATTACTCGGCCGCGACTGCCGGTGATTGTGCTCCTTGACATAGTCACTCGACGCTAGCATATTGACCTACAAAATTCCATTCACAATAATTGTTAGCCTCTCATTCTTGAGACATTCAACTTCATATAAATAGTGGAGTTAAGTGTGAACAAATAAGCGAAAAAAAAAAGGTTGTTTATACCTTGACAATTTCGGTCCTCGTGCTCGGACGCGTATAGGCTGCTAATATACTCATGTTGAACTCCTGGGGCGTAACGACATTCCACATTAGAAGAGGAAACTGATAGAAACCCAGAATTTCTGGGCGGTTTTCTTAGCTGTTATTGATCAAACTGAAAAACGTAAAGACGGAAATTACATATAGGAGGAATTCAAGGTTCCTCTGCCTCCAATATTCAAACTCAATTCTCAATACAATACC